ATACTAACATACACATATATTTTCACTTATGATAACATTATATTTAGGGTAAATTACACGGATCGTCCTTATGGTTTGGGGTAACTTGCACGTTTGGTCCCTAACAACTTTTTTTTAACTCGGACAGTCCCTTTGTTTTGGTTTTGTTACATCGTTGATCCCTGAATGACGTAAAAAGACTATTGTGCACTTATGTATTTCTTTTTTAAATTTCTGTTGTTTTTTTTATCGTTTTTAAATCATAAAGAAAAAAATATAAACCCCCACTCCTCACATATCCCCATTCACCGTTCCACCAGATTTATCATCTATCTCTCTCACTCACTCTCTCATTTTAATCGAAGATCCCCCAGGAACGAACTTCTTCTTCCATGAAACCCATCTTCTTTTCACCTTCTTCTTTGATAATGATTTAAATAAAGGAATGCATATGAGTTCCCCTCTACTGAAACGGTCATACGTGATCTCTCTCTCTCTCTCTCTCTCTCCATGTATGTTTGAACCTTCACCGGAAACCAGAACCACCGTCGATAACCTTGCTCAACCAATATCTGATTAAACTGAAATCTCAAAACCAAAATTTGATGAAATACAAATCACAAAAACACAATACAAAATTTGATGAAACATGATGCCATAAAATCTAAAACAAGATGTTCTTCCAATCTGATGAAACTGAAATCAGGTGTTCCAAAATTCAAACTTGGTGCCATAAATTCTAAAAAAAATCGCATAGAAACGTCATTTTGGGGTTGATTACTTAGGGTCGCCTTTGTATTATCATCAGTTCCAAACTACAATCATCCTAAAGCTAATTAAATACACAAAACAAGATGTTCTTCCAATTTTTTTTCACAATCAACCAGTAAACATAAATATTTTTTTGCATCTGGTTTTATTGGTAGATAAGAGGAAAAAACGAGATGAGGGGAGGGAAACTGGAGAAACCCAATGTCAGCGACACTTCATGGATTTTTATATTAAATTCGTCTTCGATGCAGTAACCGATGTCGATGATGCTCTGACAATGAACCCTAGTTGCCTCTCGTTCCAACCATGAACCCTAATCGGAATCCATCAGTGGAGATCCGACAAGGTAGTGATGGCAGAGAGGTTTTCAAACGAGAATCTCGAGCGGAGATGAGAGAACAGAAGATGAGAGGGAAGAAAGCTCACATGGTCGCCGCTTGATTGGGGTCTCTCGTCGGAGGGGTGGTCATCGGAAAAGTGGGTGAGACATAAAATGAGAACCGAGTGAAAGGAGAACCAGTGAATGGGGATACATGAGGAGTGGGAGGTTTATATATATTTTTTCCTTTTGATTTAAAAACAATAAAAAAATAATATAAAATTAAAAAGGAAATACATAAGGTCATAATAGTCTTTTTATGTAATTCAAGGACCAATGACACAATAAAAACAAAACAAAGGGATTTTCCGAGTTAAAAAAATTGTTAGGGACCAAAAGTGCAAGTTACCCCAAACCATAGAGACAATCCGTGTATTTACCCTTATATTTATATTCTTCAATGTAATATATGAAATGCATTTTATTCGTTAAAAAAATAACTATTGATAAAGAAATACTAACATCCTAGTACAGTAGTACGACATATTATAAGAGTAATGTTACTATGTATATAAATAAATAAATATAAGTGTATTGCTATAAAATACATAATGTTATTATCGAATAGATAATATGAGTACATTGTTATTATGATAAATTATAAATAATTTGCTATTATTATGCATATAACCTAATATACATTTCTTATATTAATAAAACAGCAAACAGTTTCTATCTACACCAATGTTTTAAAAACCGGTTGGACCGGGAACCGGGAGAGTGGACGGTTCAACTATCACCGGTTTTATGTCGATTTCTAAATCGGATTGAACCGGCCGGTTTTTAGAAAAACCCGGTTGAACCGGTCAAAATAAATCCGTTGAACCGATTAAATCGAATAAAACACATGAAAAAGAACCATTTGCATAATAAACTTTAGTAATTTTTTTCCAAATATATTTAGTTTTCTCTAAATAAAAACATATGGTAAATGTTATAAAGTTTTTGATGTGTTTGTATTCATCTAAAACTGTATTTTATTTCGGTATCATAATTTATTTTCTTTTTTATGTATATGGATTGATGTAAAACTTATGGTTATGTTTTATCTTTACTATATTATTAAACATATTGCCTCTTTCTTGAAAATTAAGAGGTACAATACCTATTACCACATGTACAATAATATTAAGCTTATAATCACAATCACATGTATAGGTATACATGGTATTACTTATCGTATAGGTATACACGGTGTTACCAAATCGAAGATGTTACCCTAATCTGCTCTAAACACAACACTACACACAACAGCCGCCATCGGAACGAAATCGAAACCCTCTTCTTTCCGTCTCTCTCTTGGCGTCGTTGCTGAATGTATCAGCGCCTCCACCATCGCGACCTGACCTCGAATGGTACGCCACAGGATCTTCGAAGGAGCACGGAAGTGAATGGGACCATGAGACGGCTTGGTGTTCATATGCTTACGGAGATAATGAAGGTACTTCATTTTCTGAAGAACAAGACTACCGGAGAGGCAGATCTCTTCAGTGCGCACGACGGTAACCCGCTGGCCATTGAGAAGATCCTTTTCCAAGATAGACGACAATCGACCAAATCACACTTTTTGCCCTAGGAACCATTAAGGTATGCAAAAATCGATCGCATTTTTTATAATTTCTTGTTGATCTTCTATAAAATTGAAACTGATGTTGTTGGATATGCGACTTATAATGAATAATCTTGAGGGGTTTCTTTGTTCAGGATAATAAAATATATTCCAATCCAAGTGGTGTTATTATGGGGGATCATTTCGTCTTTTTGGGGGATCAAACTGGTTTTCAACTGATTGATTTGGAGGATGCATCTGATTTTACTGAGCTTGTTTCAAAGCGTGATGGCCCTGTCACTTTCCTACAGTTGCTGCATATTCCTGCAAACCCTGATGACAATGAGAAGTTCCTACCATTACATCCGTTGCTAATAGTGGTTGCAAGTGATGAAGCCACCAGGCCCACCATGGGTCAAAACCGAAGCTATTTGAGTCTAGCTGGCAAGGATGGTTTAGTTGTGTCTCATCGGTTTCATTGGTTCCCTAGTTAATTCTTTATTGTTTATAATTTCACAATCTATATATATTTTCTATATAATTTTACTTGACTGGAGTGTTGTAGGTTTGTGGAAAGGTGGAGACTAGATGCTCATTCTTGGATAAACAGGGGATCCACTGTGTAGGATTCTGGATATGCGAATGTAGTTGTGGGGCTTCAGTTACTTCCTTGGATCATTTGATGTTCCTTTTTTATCCTTCTTTTCTCCTGATGTTTCAATACACCTGTGATTAAATACACATGGGATCTCATTGTTTATTTATTTAATTGGAAGGTATGACAAGGGCTGGAATCTTTCAAGTAAATTATGCCCTTGTAAAGGTACTGTTTTAAATTTTCATTGGCATAGTTTCAGATCATTTATACTTACTCTGAAAGCTACTCTACACAAACTGCAAAAATAAAGGGCCTTTGTCCATATCAACAAACAAATTAAGTAGTTGGAATGAGTTTTATGAATGGAGAGGCATCCCTTTAGATTCTCCTGTTGATCTGCTTCTTTACTGGGTAATGTAGTTCCATTGTGTACTATATATATTCTCATGTTGATCTACTTCTGTGAAACAGTTGATCCCTGAAACTACTGATGAACTGTGCATACACTACCTAGGTTTTTTCATCACTTTTAGAACCTGATTTAGCTTATTATGTTAAAATAGTGTCCTTTTGTGGATTCTTGATTCTGATTAATGGGTTGGCTTTGTGAAGGGCCAGAAAGGGAAGTTTATCAACTCTGGTGCCAGTGCTTCAAATTACTTTAAGGTAACTTTTATGTGTTTCACAATTCAAATTTTAGAAGTTGTTTCTGACATTTGTTTTTATTTGTTTGCATCTGTTTGTGCTTCAAATTACTTTAAGGTTTGTGCTTCAAATTATCTGCCCTCACACCACTTCTCTGGCGATGAACCCTCACCCTTGATCTGTCGAAAAAACCACCACACAGACGATCCCTTCTTTTCTTTTATTCAGAATCTTAAAGATTTGTGTTTGGATCAAGAGTTAATTCAATATGATGGCTCAATATGGAGCTCTATTAATTTTCAGATCTGGTAAGTTAGTTTTTTTTCCTGCTATTAATTAGAGGAGAGTTACTCAAGTTTTGAGTGCATTGGGTTTTACTGACATGGACGAATGTTGCAGGCTTCTTGACAATAACAACTTATCTGACTATCTTCCTCCCGAGCTCAGTAACCCCCATACTTGATTATACTATATTCTTTATTTCAATACTATAGTGCTTTTATAAATAATTTTGTTTTTGTCAAATCTTAAAATTAAGGGGTTAAATGCTCTTTGTTTAACAGTAAATTTAACAACAATCACTTTGAAGGAAGTACACCATCCTCTTATGGAAATATGTTAGGAAGGGCCAACTTGTAAGGGTAGCTTAAGTTTTAATAAACTTTAGTAATAATAAATTTCAACACATAACATTCTAATCCAATATTATTTTGGGTGATGCAGTAGTTTAAGGAACTGGACCTTAGAAGGACCAATCCTTAATCTTGATATGCTTTTACACAGTTTATTCTTGATATACTTTGTGTCTTCGTGTTTGGAGTTTGGATTCTTATACTTTTATATGATAAGCTATGCAATGATCTGTCAATATATTAGATTACTGGTACAATTCCTCCCAACTTTTCAAGCCTTCCTAACCTTCAAAGATTGTAAGAATTATTTAACCTGTTAAAATATACATGTATATAATGGTTGTAAATTTTCAATTCAACCAAAAAACTTATAGTGTAAGACCTCAAACATGAAGACCCCTCTCCCATTTTGTCTCTCTTATGCTCTAATTCTTTCTCTGAGCTCATATGCCTTCTTTGGTATCTTCCAGGGATGTGAAAAGTAACAAGATTTCAGGCATTTCAGACAACATTAACTTCTCTCCAGATGTCACCCTCAGGTTCGTTAATTTTATTTCTAATTGTATATTCACACCAGATTTCCAGTTGGTTATAAAAACTAGTTTTCCAAGAACATGTGAGCTTTAAAAATAATAAAAATTTGTGTAACAGGCAGGCTTGTATCTGTTTATGTTTTTTTTCAGTATGTTTAACAGATCTCAACGTTTGGCTACCAATACATGAAGCAATTTTTACAAAACAACATATTTTGGTATAATAAGAAAAAGAAATCATTTTAGTTGGCTTTTGTATGAAGTTCACTTTTTTATTTTTAAATTTACCAAATTCTTTCAATATAATTAAAAACGTGTTTTATTTTTTTAATTAATATATAGTAAAATTACAATAAAGATATATTAAATAATCTATGATTTTAGCTGTTAATTTTTATCTTAATTTTTAGTATTATTTATTTAATTGAAGTTATAATTATAATTGACTTATTTTTGGCATGATTTTGCATATACTTTGATATGATATTAATTGCATTATTTTTTGCATGTGAACCGAAGAAAAGAAGAAGAATGTGCGATCGGAACAAAAGAAAAGAAGGGCACCACTGTTTTCCTTATCTTCCTACTACAATTTATTTTCTACCAGGTAAGAACTACTTGCTATGATGTTTAATTAGATATATGTATGCTATTAATTCTCAAGTAATAAACTTTGTTTCGGCTTGATGTTACATTTGATATAACTTGAAGTGTGTATGTATACTATTTTCTTTTTATTTCTTTCATCTGAAGTAACAAACTTCTTCTATATACATTTGTGATAGTATGTATTTGTGTCTTTGACTATTTGTACATGTGTATGTTTTGTGTATTTGAGTTAGGGTGTGTTTGTGACAATTATGATTTTTTTTTTCACTTTTTCTTTTATGTCTCTCTTCATAATGCTAAAATATCACATTATTTGTTAAATTAAGAACAAGGTTCATTGCTGTTGACCGGAGTATTGATTATATATGTATGTGATTATAAAACAAAAATAGTTAAAAACTGTTCTAATGTTACAATTTTTTGAAAAAACAAATAATTTTGCAAATTAGCTGTCAACATTTACCATTTCTGTTGCAGCTAAACTGTATGAAATTTGGTAAACCATATAAAGAACTTCACCAATTTTATGTTTATTTTGTTTGAAATCGATTACAATGGTCAACTGTTTCGCCAAAACATTCAAATTATGTATTACTTTTTTGGACTATTGCTGTTTTACTGCTTCTTTCTGTTTGTTTGTTTGCTGCTTCTTTATGTTTGTTTGAATAAATTTGGTTTGTAAAAATTAGCATAATTTCTTATAATTAACCATTTATGTAAAGTCATTAAAATACAAACCGTTCATATAAAATTATCCATTTTTTTCTGTGAGATTTAACAAACATTGTTCAAGGCTTTAGTGGAACCTAGACAATCTTCACTTTTTCCTAAAGCAATTGATGTAAGAGTAAATTATTTATTCACTTTCAGTTAAAAAAAATTATTTTCTTTAATTCATTTTAAAATTTGAACAGGACTACATGGGCTAAGCTAAGAGACAACTCAACTACTGGTGTAGTGTTTTTTGTTGTATGTCGTGGAAAGGTAATTTATAATTTTATATAGTATTTGACTATTTTCTCCTTATGACATTTATTAAAAAGTTTAAATTTTTATATAAATAGGTAAGTGAAGGATTAGATTTTGCTGATCAAGCTGGAAGAGCTGTAATTATGACTGGAATTCCATTTGCAATGAGGAAAGATCCAAAAATCCGTTTAAAACGTGAGTTTTTAGACCAACATGTACTCTCCCAAAAAGGATCCAAGGTAATTAATTTTGGTCAACAAAGTCAAACTCACTTAATTTTTTTTTTTTATAGGATTATATGTAGATTGCCTTTTTTAGGTTCTCACAGGAGAAGAGTGGTATAGTCAACAAGCATCACAGGCGGTCAACCAACCGAATGTTTGTACTTACACTGTTTTGGTGTAGTTTATATATTGGACATTATAAATGTACAAAACTACATGATTACAGATTTTTGTTATTTATATATTGTAAAATCAAGTATGAACTATTAGATGAAATTCCAAATATATACTCAGCTTCTGTCGTATTGTATGACTATGCATCTATCAAGTAACTATCCATTGAAATGAACTATTCGATACAAAATAGTCTACCAAAAGGCCACAATGAATAGCTCATGTCTAAAGGAAACTAATCATCACATTACTATCTTCCGAAAGAAACTCTTTGCCGCCCGACGCTTAGCGCGGGTAAACGGCTACTTTTAATACATTTGGATTGATCTACAACTTATTTTTTATGTGTATTTTTAATGTTTGAACTTGTAAACATCAAATTCATGATTTATATATGTATGTATGTGTAATAAAATAGTAAAATTGATGAAAATTATAGAAACCGGTTAACCCAACGGTCGAACTGGTTAAACCCGTAGAACCGGAAACCGGTCACCACACCGGTTCAATTAAAAAACCGGTTTTTAAAACATTATCTACACTAATTTGCTATTGTTTTTAATTAGTTGTCCATAACAAAATAAGAAAGTTAAATCAAAATGTTGCAAAACCAAAAACATTGTTCATTTGTTGTTAAATATTAAGACACACAAATTGTCTTACAAAAAGCCAAAAAAGTTGCTGGATAAACAAGACTTCAGATCTGATCACTTCTTAAAACCGATGTCAAAAAGACCACCACCACACACCACCATCCCCTCCTTCCACCTTTAATTAAAATTTTCTCACTGATTCTTTTTCTTTCGACAAAATCTGCAGTCGATACATGTTAGATTGTTAGGTGTGTTTTTCCTCTGTTATTTGCCTTTTTTTCATACCCTACGTCCATTTCCATCGTTTAAAGTCTTGTTCTGGACAACACTCCATTAAATTTCACCTACTCTCTCTCTCTCTCTCTCTCTCTCTCTCTCACACACACACAGAATAGACGCGTAATGCACTCTCAACAGTGTGTTCTTGTGATGCATCTCATTTGATTTAGGTTCTATTGGACTTCAGTTTCTCTTTCTCGTTAAGTTTTGAGTAGAATCTTGAAAACGGGATCTGGGTGTGCTAAAATACCTTGTTTTACATCTGGGGTTCCAAAGATTTTGGGGAAAAGCTCAAAAACCTGAAGATCCAATTAAAAATCTGTTCTGGGTCATCTGCGTGGATTATTTGATTTCAGAAAGATCAAATCTTTTTCAAGAAAATCCCTTCTAAATCTTGGTATTTATGGTTAAATCAATAATGGGTAGCAATAATTTGCTTTATCCAATACTTGGATTTGCATCTTGTCTTGTTTTTCTTTACCTGTCTTTTGGGGATTTCTTATCTGTAAATTACAAAACTGACCCCAAATTGAGTTTTGTGGAGAGGAATGGGACTAATTTCATCGTCGATGGTAAACTTTTTTACATCAATGGTTGGAATTCGTATTGGTTTATGGATCATGCTGTTCATGATTATAGCCGTCCAAGAATCAGAGAAATGCTTCAAGCTGCAGCTAAAATGGGGTTGACAGTGTGTAGAACTTGGGCTTTTAACGATGGCGACTATAATGCCCTTCAGATTGCCCCTGGACAATTTGATGAGAGGGTATTCAAGGTAAAACCTTGTTCTTTTGTACATAAATTCTCATATACGTTTCATTCATAATGTCGTATTCAAGGTAAAAACTTGTTCTCTTGTGTATAATTTTTGATTTTTTCTTGGGAGCTTGTATTTTTCATTTATAGTGTCTTATTCAAGGTGTTGTTTTGGATATAATTTTGTATTTTTCATTCATAGTGTCGTATTCAAGGTAAAAACTTGTTGTTTTGTGTATAAATATTTATGTTTTTATTTGGATGTTTTTTTTTTTTTTTTTTTTTTTCATTCATTCATAGTGGCATTCTTGATACGATTTGATTATAAAGATTAAATTTATGGCGTAGGTGGTAACGTGTGCAATTTGTCCATGCTTTCTTTGTCTATGTGGTTTATATTTTCTTATACTTACTTGGTCCCTTTTGGGTTTCTCGTTTCTGATTGGTTGATACAATTCAAATTTGATGCTAAAGATTCATGCTTTGTATTCTTAATCCAAATAACTGATTTTCTGAGCTATATTATTGTGGTTTTAGTTGCAAACTAACTGTCCTACTTTCTAAAAATACCATTAAAAATATGACACAGATTGTTGGAAATTTGTGTAAATGTAAAAGGGAAAAGAAGAACAGTTTACTTGATACTTTTGTTCAAAATTGCTTAACCATATTTATGCAACCAAGTGATTTTTATACAAAATATGAAAAACACCGTTTCATTTTAGGACCAAAAGATGCACTACTTCCCCTACTTTTATTGGATTATTTTGTATATAAATTTTCCGTTATAGATGTTTTTTTTAAATGTTTATCACTTAATCGATTGGAAAAATGGGGATTATTGCAGGCATTGGATTATGTGATTGCAGAATCAAGACAAGTTGGAATACGGCTTTTGTTTAGCCTGGTTAATAACCTCCAAGCATATGGTGGCAAGACTCAGTATGTGAAATGGGCATGGGATGAAGGTGTTGGTTTGAGTGCCTCTAATGATTCCTTCTTCTTTGATCCATCAATTCGCCTTTATTTTAAGAATTATGTCAAGGTAATAATACCCTACTTACTACTAAAATCCTTTATACTATGAAAATTCTACCTAATTATATTTATAGCATTGTGGTTTCTTATTAGGACATTATACTTGGACAAATCTACCCAATTATAGCAGTGAAAATTGCTGTAGTGTGGGTAGATGTTTCAGTATGCAATGCTATAATAGGAAAAATATAAATTAAAAGTAATTGTTTCATAAATCAAATTGTTTTATTTTATTGCAGACCATCTTGACAAGGAAGAACTCCATCACAGGAGTTGTGTACAGGGATGATCCCACCATCTTTGGGTGGGAGTTAATTAATGAGCCTCGTTGCATCACTGATGCTTCTGGTGACACCCTACAAGTAATTTAATTTACTTTGCTATTTCTTGCATATAATAATTCTAACTGTAATTACATTCCAAATGTGTGGAAAATAAATGCAGGACTGGATAGAAGAAATGTCATCATTTATAAAATCAATCGATAGAAAACATATGTTGACTATTGGGCTTGAAGGGTTTTATGGCCCAAAAAGTCCAAAGAAAGATTCAGTCAATCCAGAATTTTGGGCTGCTGATCTTGGAGCTGATTTTGTTCGCAATTCTGCACCCTCCACCATTGACTTTGCCTCTGTTCATATATATCCTGACCATTGGTAACTTTTCATCATCTTAATTATATTTATTTCCTGAATTTCCGTATCTATTGCAATAAATAACAACTTATTTTTACCATGTTGTTCATTTGGCACTGGACTTTGAAATCATAAGTAAAACCATTATAGAAAAGGTTAAATTGAACTAGTTATGTTATTTTTGTTTCCATAGGTTTAAAAAGAAGAGTCTTGAAGGAAAACTAAAATTTGTTGCCAAATGGATGCGTTCCCACATTGAAGATGGGGACCAAGTGTTGAAGAAACCCGTGATGTTTACAGAATTTGGTTTATCAGATTTAAACAAAGGCTTTAACCCTTCACAAAGAGACCAATTCTACAAAACCGTATATGATGTCATTTATGAATCTGCAAAGAAAAAGGGGGCAGGTGGAGGATCTTTTGCATGGCAATACTTTGTGGAAGGAATGGAGGATTATAATGATGATTTTGGAATAGTGCCATGGAAGAGAGCTTCAACTTATGAGATTATAACAAAACATACGTGCGAGTTAGCAAAAGTTCATGGGAGGATTGAGTCCCAAAACTTGAAACAACTTTGTAATCATTAGTGATGAAAAGGGGGTTGATTATTTATTGTCTTCTTTGTCTAAATAATTTGATTTGTTTTGTGGGGATTTGAGGTTTTTGGTTGATTATAGGGGATGATGATGGTGTTTGGTTTTTTGTGTAAGCCATGTTGTTCCCATGTTTTATATATAGTTAGTTTTATGAAATGCAAATTGTGAACGTTATGTGATTCATCTCCTAGGTTGAAATACTATATTTAAGTTGTAAAGGGTTTTTTTGCATGATATGGGTTCAAACCTGTTTTTGTAAGTTGGTGAATTTTGTAATATATAATAACAAAAAATATGTTATCCATTTAGATTTACAATGAACTATTAGATGTCATGTTGACATTGTTGTGTAGTAAGATTAGTAATGGAATCACTTGTATTATCCTCCTTGGTATTGTTGATTGGAACAAAAGTTTGATCAGAAACAACATTAGCATGTGAATTTCCTTGATTAGAACGATAACCCGGTGGAAAACCATGAAGTTTGTAACATTTGTCAACAGTGTGACCAGATCTTTTGCAATGAGAACAAACTGGAGATGAAGTTTGTAACATTTGTCAACAGTGTGATCAGATCTTTTGCAATGAGAACAAACTGGAGATGATCGATTCTTTGAAAATGATTTAAACCTTTGATTTGAATTTGATTTACTTTGAACATTGAAAGCAATGGGAGAATTATTGATAGAAGGAGTACTTATCTCTCTTTGACGTTCTTCCTGGATCAATAAAGAAAAAATACGATTAACAGTGGGAATTGGATCCATTAGGAGAATTTGTCCCCTAATTTGAGCATACTTCTCATGTAATCCCATCAAGAACATCATGGTGTGTTCGATGTCCTTTGCTCCTCCACAAGTACACAAACCACAGATGCAGTGAACTTCAAAATTAGACAATTTTTCCCATAGAACCTTCAATTTAATGAAATAAGTGCTTACTGAATCATCTCCTTGAGTGAGATTCATCAGATCACGCTTAATTTGAAAGATACGTGGACCATTGCTCTGCTGAAAACGTTCCTTGAGTTCCTTCCAGATTGCAGAAGCAGTAGTCAGATATATGACAGAAGCAGAAATCTCTTTTGATACTGAATTCAAGATCCAGGAAATAACAATGTTGTTATTTCGATTCCAAGCTTTTAAACGATTAACTTCAGTTAACAAAGGTCGTGGTAGATCTCCAGTAACAAAATCAAGTTTGTTCTTCACGGACAAAGCAATTGTCATCGATTGTGACCAAGAGGCATAACTGTCCCCTGTGAGAACTTGATTAACAAGCAATGTACCAGGGTTATCAGAATGATGAATGTAATACGGATCATCAGATGATCCAACATCATTTTGTGAAGAACTAGGTGTAGAAACTGAAGGAATTGAATCAGACATGATCAAATCTCAAAATCACAAGAAAAGAGATGAAAAACAGAGTATGAATCACGAAGAGAAAAATTGAAGAATCAGTGATTAAGAATCACTGATACGATGAATGCGGAAGCACAGAAGAAAAAGTGCTTTGATACCATATTATCAGAGTAAGAACAAGAGAAAAGAACCAAGATGTTCATGTGTATTGAATTCTACTCAATGAATACAGAGAACAATATTTATATACAAAAAAGACTTAACTAACTACTAACTCATCATCTAACAGCTAAACTAATGCTAGTTAAGTTAATTAACTGTGATTAAACTAACTTCTAACTGCCAGGAGTAACCAATTCTAACAGACCCACCATAACAAACTTTAACGAACAAAAAGTCAACATGACATCTAATATGAACGGAAACTAGAAAGATACTATATTGTCACAACTAGAAATTTTGATGCTTTGTAACAACAACAATGATAACATTTGTGAACCAAAATGAGAAAACATGTATAATGCTTATTCAATAACAACAAAACTTCCATCAAACACCTTATACAAGCACTGCAAATAGTCAACTAAGAATTGGAAAACCTAGAAATCCCGGGTTAAGTCCATTATGGACTAGGATTTCCTTATTGGGCCTAATGGACCAATAAGCTTCCAATTTGACTATTTTGGGCTTAGAACTCCTATGTGGACTCTAATTGGACCCACTTCCACTTATTTTAACATTTTGGGCCATATTGGGCCTAGAATGAAATAAAAACCCTAATGGGCCTCATTGGGCCATAACTAACCTAATTAACTCTAATGGACTATGAAGCCCATTATTTTGACAAATTGGGCCGTAAACCATCATGGGAGCCCAATGGGCCGAAAAATCACCTAATTGGGCCATAAAATGGACTTAAGCACAAAAAGGCCCAATTTCTTTTTCTTCTTCTCCTCTTCTCGACCCAACTACATAAATGAGGGGGGGAAAGAGTTGACTTTCCACTTGCCACCTCCTTATTATATTTTGGTTCTCCATGCAATAACTCATATTTCCAAGCAACCATCTTATCATCACTCTCTCTTCTCCTTCTCTCTTTTTCTTCATTCGGCCGAGAACCACAAAGGGAAAGACATACACACACATTTCACTCAAACACTCTCAAAGAAACACTCCTTCTTCTTCATCAAAATTTCGAGAGTTAGAAGCATTCCAAGGAGGTTATTCCACAAAAATCATCATCTTAGGTAAGTTCATGCTTGGATCCATGATCTAGATTCTTTGTATTATCAAAAATCTCTCCTTAACTCATTTAAACTCATGATCACCATCTTAGAAACCTCTAAGTTCGAGATCTTCCAAGAAGGCTTGCTAGGACCAAATTTTCTTCATTTCTTCCTCCTAAATCGAAAACAACAAACAAAGGTGAGTTCATACCCCTCTCTTTTCGGTTTTATATGTTTTATGGGGGAGAATACAAGAAAATGTGTAGATCTATGTGTATGTGTATGTTATGTATGATTTTATGCATGTATGTGTGATTTTATGTGTTTTTGTGATGAATATGTAATCAAAAGGGAAGAAATCTCGAGATCTATGCCATAAGAAGGAAAACAAACATGATCTAAGTTATATTACACTAAACAAGTCATGAATATTAACTTCTAAGATTTTGATAAACATATTGCAACATAAAAACCCATTTTTGGGCTTAAATTGTCAAATAAACAAAAGTTGGGTTAAAAATTGTCATTTACGGTTTTCTTAAGGGTCAAAAGAGTCAAAACAGTAACAACAAATGTTTTTATGAATATTATGCTCTTCAAGGGACTTGAAATGTAAATATTAGCTTAATGGACCAATTTTTGGGCTTTTCGGCCCATTAAGCCCAAAGTTGCGAAAAATATGACTTTTAAAGGGCTGAAATGGTAAATTCTTCAAAACAGGGGATAAAGAGTTAAACAAAACTATTTCAAGGGTTAAAAATGCTTGTCTTTTCCAAAAAGGATAAAAAATGTAAAGTTTTTGGATTTTGGGCCAAAATTGTAAAAATTGCAAAAGTTTGGGCTTTAACCGAAAAACACTTTTCTGGAAGGGCTGAAACTGCCAAAGAATAAGTTTGAGCTAAAAATATCATTTGAACAAGTCTATGATTCAAAAGTGTCAAGAAAAGAGTTTAAGGGCAAAAATGTCTCTTTTTATATAAAGGACTAAAATTGTCATTTTTATTAAAGAAGGGCTGAAAAGGTCAAACCAATATTCTTAAGTCAATTATTTTATTTCTAGAATATTGAGTCAAAAATACTAAACTACGACTTACAAAAATTGAAAGATGAATACACGTATAAATCCAAATATCGTTATAAACAAATCGACCGGTCTCGAGTCGATACAAAAATAACAATCGTTCAATCAAACCTTCCAACAATTATGCAATACCCAAAACAACTAAATATTCAAAACTCTGGGCTTGAAAGTTCCAATCATGCTTGTTGGGCCTTTGTGATCCATCCACATGATTTTTGGGCCCAAGAGATAATAATAATAAATGTTATTGGGCCTTCGATGACCCAATTTCATATTAAAGGGACCCTCAATGGCTTTTAAGTGCTATTGGGCCTTAGTGGCCCACTAGCACTGCTAGTAAGGTCCAAGTAATCAAATGCGAAATGGACCAACGTGTCCTTCGTATACCCAACAGCCTAAAATAACTCACGAAAGTAGCAGGACTTTGTTTTCCTCTTCTCCTCGTTTGTTAGGCTTATGCGTAATCAAAGTAAACAAATTCAGGTCGTTAATCAATAGTAATCAATGTTATTTGGGTTAAGTGAGTAATAACGGGCGATACCTCCAAGGGTCGTTCGTAGTCTGTAGTTATAATCAAAGTCTCCTGGAAGGAGAGCGAGAGTTTGTGTATAGATCTATACGGGGGTGACTCCCCCACACCTCAGCTGTTCGCTACAGTTAGACTCGGCCAGTCTAGGGTGACAAAATCTTAAGATCAATCCCGACGCACGATAGGTAGCCAAGACAGACGAACTAGTCATTATTATGCATGGTTATAACGACTCACAAAAATTAATTAATCCAATACCATCCGAATAATCAAGGAAGAGTAATCAAAATCATTCATTGTGGCAGTATAACAATTTGAGAAGTAACTGTATTTTATGTATTCGGAAAACATCGGGTTTTTCGAGGAAATCAACATCACTCGCTTGTATCCTTCTATAACTATAATACAAAACTCCCTTTTTATACACGTTTTGAAATCATTCATGCATCAACTTATGGATCTCCACACTTTGATAAACAACTGTCTTTTCAGAAAATATCGGATTTTCTGGGTTTTACAAACTACACAAATCATTTTTATCACAACCCTGCTTATGAACTCACCAACATTTCATATGTTGACGTTTTTCAAAATAACTTGTATTCTCAGGTAACAGGTAAGCTGCAGGGTAATATCAAGTACGTTAGGATGTTATGTTTTAAAAACTCTCGAACAATTTATGTTATGAATGTGTAATGTTTAAAACAATGTACTGGATGTGAACAATATCAGTTGTAATGTATTGATGCATGGTGATGTTTATGTTATGATTCATGTATATTCATTGTGATGATATTCAATTTAAGTCACGCGAGCCCTCGGACGTTTCCGCCGTCTGGTTTCGGGGGTGTGACAGGTTGGTATCAGAGCTCTGTTTATAGTGAACTGGCATATCTAATCCCACATTGATATGCAA